TGGAGAACTATCATTTTCTTTTTGTGATACCATATTACCCTGACTTTCATTGTGTTTGACTGGACTGCGCCTCTCCTGTTGCGTTTTAAGTAATACACTTACTTGTTTGCTTTGGTAAACGTAATAGAAACCCTTGTTTTCCAGACAGTGGCGCTGTAGTTCAGGTTTTTGGTGTCTTTTTACCTGATCTGGTTTTGGGTCTATAACCTGGGCAGGGGATGTTGGGGAGAATGTTTAAAAAAAAAAAAAACGTGCTATAGAGAAAGCTGGGGGCAGAGTGAAGGGAGTTTAGGCTTAGTGCTGGAGGCTTTGCATGCTCACAGCCCAGTGATGACACCCTCAAGTGGGGATGCTTCCAGGGGTCCACGGCAGACAGCAGGTAACAGTACCTTCCCTTATGCCAGTTATTCTCCTCTGCCTCTTTCCCCGTCCTCTCCCTCCCTTCAGTCATAGAGGTTTCTCCTCAGAAATCCAGGTGCTGCTGGAGAGAATCAGGTCCCTCCAGTTGTAATCTGTACAGCCCGGCAGTCAGCCACTCACCCCTTTCTCTTTCCGCCGCCTCTGTGAGGCAAGTTGCCACTGTTCTGATGAAAACTCAGCCCGAGGGAGGGAGGGGGACTGACTCCTCGAGTTCCTCCTTCTCACCTCCAGGCTGGTCTCTGTTTTGCTCCGGTGGTGAGCCTGGTTCTCCCTCTGTCTGGCTGACCTCCACAAGTTCTCTATGCCCTGTGTGTCTGCCATGGTTTTCAATCTCCAGTTTTGCTTCCCCCACCCCTGCCCCAGTCAAGTCATTGGGGGTAGGGCCGGCTTACCAACGTCTTTGGGCCCACAGCCCCCTCCAAGTTTCTGTCTACTTTCTGCAGCACAGGAAGTCTGCTGGTCAGTCTGGTGTAATGTGCAGAGGCCCTGCTGTTCAGTTATGAATGATGAATTGTAGAGGACCGAAAGAAACCACTCATGCTGCCAGGATGCTATGTCACTCTCAGAATCCAAATATTTTTTATTTATAATGATTTCCCCCACTTTTTTGAGAAGCTTTGTTTTGACAGCTTTACTTGTGATCAGTCATCTGTGGAAAAATGGTTGGATATTAAACTAGGCTCTGACTTATTACATGCTAATCACAGAAGAACAAAGCTAATTACAGAAACAAAGCTTCTCTGCCAGAAATACAAATCAATAAGCCAGTGTCTAGTCTAGCAAACCACTGCTGGATGAATTACTATAGGACATACATGTACTATAAAATCTTATTTCTTCATTGAAGGTACACTGAGCCCCAGCCGCATGAAAAGCCCTAAGCTAGGCAGAGAGGAGATGGTAACAAGAATGAGAAATCAGACATCTCCCTTCAGGAGTTCATAGCTAATGAGGAGCAGTTTTCTTGCTGAAACTCAAGTATAAAGTCTTGCAAAGCTTCCCTTAGATTCTTTGACATTCACTGATATAAGTAGATATCATGAAAAAATTGTGTTATGTGGTTTTTAGATTTAGGTGTAGGTGTATATTATAGGTTTAGAATGGAGCCCCCTGACCAATAGCATTCGACCTGTTTGTACATATTGAACCATGATCTGAGACATCTCCATGGCCTTTGCTGCCACCTTCCAGTTCCTCTGCCACATCGGTCACAGTTAACCAAGCTTTCTGGGGCCTTTAGGAATTCAGTCTGTCTTCCACTTTTATAGCAGACATAATTGTCATCTTTTTCTTAATCAAACTCAGTATTACCTTCCTTCAGCATCCCAAGCTTTCAGACGTTGTAAATGACTTCTTCCAAAATAATAGATCTATTAAATCCTAGACAGAATTTGATGTTTGGAGATACCTTTTAGCTTATCAGATGTAACACATTGGTGCTCTAAGAGATTTTTTTGTCCTAGAACAGGTGGCCACGGTAATGAAGACCAAGTCACCATAGAGCTTTCTCTCTTCTTATATATGTGTGTTTACAAGATTTTCAATAATATGAGACCCAGTTATATCAGAAGCCAAGATCTTTACTTTTAGGCTTTTATATTGGTGGTTATCATTGTCATCCAGAACCTTCAGGCTTTTTACCAGAGGTTTTTTAGGACGAGGGTATTAGAGTATTTTTACTGGAAGGTTTCTCTTTGTTTTAGTTACCTAGTTGAGAGTAATTGATGGTGTTTGGAGGTTATTATCAACTTTATCTTTTATTTAAAAGGATAAGATACACATGTACTTTACTAAAGCGCTTCCCAGGTGGCTTAGTGGTGAAGAATCCACCTGCCAATGCAGAAGACATGGGTTCGACCCCTGACTCAGGAAGATCCCTGGAGAAGGAAATGGCAACTCACTTGAGTATTCTTGCCTGGAAAATTCCATAGAGGAGCCTGGTAAGCTGCAGTCCATGGGGTTGCAAAGAGCTGGACACAACTGAGTGACTGAACATGCATGTAGTTAACTAAAAGTACTTTCCCTCCAGGATTAAGGCCTTATGAAATTATTATTTGTAAAATAGCTATGTCTTTTTTTTTTTTCCCCATTAAGGATGTTTTCTTTTTTGGCAAACTAAGTACACAGCAATTTTCTTTGCTTACTTTTCATTGTGTTGTAAATAATACATGTAGGTGATTTATTTCTAACCTAAGAAAACAGTTATCAAGGAAGAGAGAGAATGAGTTATTGTAAAGGAAACAAATGATTACATTTTAGTTGTAAAAGAATACACTACTTCTCTGAAGTAGTTTTACCATGTTAGGGGAAATCAGGAATACTCTGGGAAAGCCCGGAAATATTTGACTCTTAGTTAACATTGAGCAAATCTTTAAGAATTTGTTTTCATAAGAAAGGGGAAGAGTTTTTTTTTTTTTTTACAGAATTGATAAAAAATAACAGTACAAGGCTGTCCTGCCAGCTAAATCCTTCTAAACACAAGAAGAGAAAGTCTCAAGCACAACACAGACAAAATACACTCAGTGCTAAAACAGAGATGCAGGCAGCGTCCTGAAAGAGCTGAGAGAGGGAGGTCAATTCTCTGTGGATGCTCAGAAGAAGTTTACTAAAATTCAGTACATGTTCTTAATCAAATTCTAAGAATCAGATTTGGAGAATTTCCTTTGATATAACAAGAAAGGCTTACTTATAACCATCTTAGGATTTTTCCTGTAAGAATCAGCTAACCCTTCTAATAATCCATCTTTAACTAACTTAATCAAGCTTTAATGACAGAACTTTCACTGCTATAAAACTATAACAATTACACCTGCTCACTTCAACTCTTGCTAGACTCTTCCCTCTCGTTAACTTCTCTAGCACAGTCCCCAAAGTTTGAACCCCAAATTCTATTTATAGAAAACACAATCTCTTAGGTTCTTAAAATTAGACTAATTTGTCTAATGTTTCTTACAGTTTGTAGTAAATGGATTTTTAAGTTAGAGTTTTTGTAATTTTGTATTGTTATTTCACTCAGTTAATAACATTATTTTACCAATTAGAAGACAAGACTCTTTTGCAGTACAGATTCACAGTTGAAAAATGCTTCCATGAGAACATAAGATTAGTTTAAGTCTCTCAAGCTGGCATCTGAAAACCCCTGAGAATCCATTACATTGGGTTCCACGGTAATTTTTTTCAACTAGACTACACATTGTAGTCGGTCCTCCTATCCATGGTTCCATATTGGTAGATTTAGTCAACACCCAGATTAAAAATAGAAAAAAAAATTCCACAACATTCCAAAAAGGAAAGCTTGGATTTGCCACGTATTGTCATCTATTTACATACCATTTACTTTGTATTAGGTATTACTAGTAATCTGGAGATGATTGAAAGTATTTGGGAGGATGTATGTAGGATCTGCGAATGCTGTGCCACATTATGTAAGGGACTTACTTGAGTGTCCTTTGATTTTGGAATCTGTGGGGGTCCTGGAACCAGTGCCCCACAGATACTGAGAGACTGCCATACTCAAATGTGAGAAATCCTGAGCCATTAGCTATTCCTTCAAAATTTTATGTCACCTTTTTTCTGTTATAAATTGTGGTCGTGGATCTGCTGCTTTAACATCCTTTCTACATCACTGTCCTATACTCCAGCGTAGTAGAAAAGTCACTTAGATACAGTCTAAGAATTGCAACAGGCCCTTCTAATTGATGTGACAGAGACACTAGTGGAAGAGCTAGAAGTACTTTGAAGTCAGCTGGTCCTCCTGGAATTCCAGCGATCCTAGTTTTGAGAACTTGGTCATATTAATAGGCTGAGTTTTAATACATCAAATAGGGTAATAATGCCACCCTTGAAGTGTTGTTGGTGAGGAATAGAAATAATATGTAGTGCCTAACAGGAGTATCTCACACAAGGGGACAGTTAAAGGTAGATCTTACTGTTATCAGTTCAGTCGCTCAGTCGTGTCCGACTGTTTGAGACCCCATGGGCTGCAGCACGCCAGGCCTCCCTGTCCATCACCAACTCCTGGAGCTTGCTCAAACTCATATCCATTGAGTCGGTGATGCCATCCAACCATCTCATCCTCTGTCGCCCCCTTCTCCTCCTGCCTTCAATCTTTCCCAGCATCAGAGTCTTTTCCAGTGAGTCAGTTCTTCACTTCAGGTGGCCAAAGTATTGGAGTTTCAGCTTCAGCATCAGCCTTCAGGACTGATTTCCTTTAGGATTGACTGGCTTGATCTACTTGAAGTCCAAGGGACTCTTGAAGAGTCTTCTCCAACACAGCAGTTCAAATGCATCAATTATTTGGCGCTCAGGTTTCTTTATAGTCCAGCTCTCGCATCCATACATGACTACTGGAAAAACCCGAGTTTCCGACTAGATGGACCTTTGTTGGCAAAGTAATGCCTCTGCTTTTTAATATGCTGTCTAGGTTGGCCGTAGCTTTTCTTCCAAGGAGCAAGCATCTTTTAATTTCATGGCTGCAGTCACCAAGGGGTTGGGGTATGGTACCAACCACAGCTCTGGTTTCTGCCAATAGACAAAGCTATCACATTCCTTATGTGGCCTTCTCTGACCTGGTTACCTGGGAAGTTCAAAACTAAAGGTCATATTTAATTGCTTTAACAACCATAAACCAGGATTATTTAATAGCATCCTTTCTGTCTTCCTTTTCTTTGTGATTTTAGCCTGGCTTCTTTATCTTTTGGTTTTTGTATTTATTGGCCCAGTTGCCTCAAATGCTTTTTGGAAGTGGATGAGCCTAAAAGAAAAATATGTAAATTAAAAGTCAGTTTTGTAATTAGAAAAATACCAGAGTTGTCCTCCTTAAAAATCAGATAAAACAAGTGTTGAATAGAAATAAAAGTATTTACAATTATAATCCATTTTAATTATGCTTAATTATAATTCAGTTTAATTAGTTATGCTTTCATATGTACTCAGGAGTAAAATAAGCAATAAATATAAATCCAAGGAAGAAACAAAATTGTTTTTTTGCAGATGATACTTTTTATGTATAAAGCACAATGAAATGAATGAAATTATTGGAGGTAAAGAGATGCAACAAGTTTTGCAAAATTACATGCTATGTTGGAAATCCTCAAAATTCCATAAAGTTAGTATATTCTCAAGTCATATAGCTAAAAATATAGATGACATTTGCTTAGAAGATATTTTGACCACTCAAAAGGAATATATATATAAATGCATTCCTAATTCCCTTGTGAAATCATATCTTTAGCTCTTTGATGATGATACAGGAGAGAATGGTCTACCAAATAAAATAGGTGTAATATATTTTAGTCTGTTTCATATGCACAATTACTTATTCACATAAAAGATAACTTCCCACTTTCTGAGTTATTAATGCATAATGAAGTAGCCTTTCCCCCTTTACCATTATATTATGAATAATAAGTAAGCTAAAATGAATAAATTAGTAGAAACAGCTATGTGCAGTGTTTCTTTTGCACATTGGGAAATCCAGTTTTTACTTAAAATATCTGAATTACATATAAGATAATCTAACTTAAAGCATTCTTTAAAACATTTTCATAACCATTAACTAATTGAAGCAGCTCATTTGTAAAAACATTTTTTAACATGAATCAAACTTGAGAAGAAAAAACGACAACTTAAAAGTAACCTTTAGCATTCAAATACTAATCAGTGTGATATTAAATGATAGTGGTAAATAAAAAATGCTAGGGGTAAATGAACCTAATCTGGTGAGTCCTCTTGTTAGCAGCCAGAAGAGGGCAGTTCGTAAGCACTTTAAAGTAGACTCTTGTTTTCACTTAGCTTATACATAATGCTTTAAAAGTCCTAGAGATTTCAGTTTGGGTTTAATTTGATTTTGCTTTGCTGTGGTAGCATTTACCAGTTTCCTTTATTTCCACCTAATCTTTGAATGCCATATTGTATGGAGATTATATTTCCTAAAATGTAAAAAATGTCCTCCTCTACTGGGAGGTCACAGTGGATGGGGACTTGGGGTTTGGGCAACCTCTGAAACAAGTGGACATCTTCTGTGCTTCAGGTGCAGTCATACAATGGAGCTTGAAAACAGAAGTAAATTACTGTAGGGTTGTCAGGCAGAGATAGCAAAAGCAGATGATATCCTGAATTAACACCAGGATAAGGTGCTTTTTATAGTTGGCAGTTTAGTTCTTTTATGAAGTCCAGTTAAGTACCAGTTAGTAAGATGTATCAACAGTTTATCTTTAAAAGGGAAGAAAAGGCCATGAAATAATTGCCTTATTAATACAATCAGAACCTCTTTCTTTTATAAACCTTTAGATAAAACATGACAATAATGGAAAAATAATGTAAAACAGATATAATTGTACATGACATTTGGCATTTTGAAAAACTTCATTTTTAAATTTTTTACATTCTTTGTATTTTACATTTTTTGTAGAAAGTTACATTGTAGAATGTAAAATACTTTTTACATTCTTTGTAGAAAGTTAAGCACAATTCTGGTATTTAAAATAAAGACAAAAGTCACAGCAGGCACCTAAAATTCCATGTGCATCACACAGTTTTTCACACATAGTCCTTCAGGCTATATGCCGAACTGTCCTCTGGCTGTGCGGTGGAGACGGGTGGCTGCTTGCATGGGTGGAGCAAAGCTCCCGAATTCTTCTTTAGACAGGATGTGCAGAAGATCATGCCGGAGATCAGCAGCAGCACGGCCGAAATGATCCCAAGGTAGACGGCTCCTCCAGGCTCGTGTTTGTTGCTTTGTGGAACCGTCGAGTCCAGAAAGTTTGCTATGATCTCCTTTGTGTACCACACAGTCGGTATTAAACCAGAGGTCCCTGCAGACAGGAAACAAACTCCTCCAGCAAAACAGGCATGCCTCTTGGTTTCCGGGTCCCCTCCTAAGCGAGTGCATTCCATCCCCACTGTGGAAGTGCAGATCCCCACCGCAGAGAGGATGCAGGCCAGGATCATGGTGGCCCGCGCGGCCTGCTCGTGGCTGGGGAGGGCCAGGACGGAGAACTTCAGGGTGCAGCTGAACATGCCGGTGCTGTACCACGCGCAGTCCATCCACAGCCCTTCCAGTCGCTCGATGGCCGTGATGATGTTGGAGCCCGCATCCATGTTCACCTTCCAGTTGGGCAGCAGCGTGGCCGCGAGGACTCCAGAGACCCCAGATAAGGCCAGGGCGAAAGCCAGGAGCTGGACACCCGCCGAGGCCATGACGTCACTGCGACCTCTGTCCTCTTAGAAAACCCTGACGGCGCTCGGTCAGAACTGTAGCTATTTCTGCACAGCAGAGAACCAGGTAACAAAAGGCTGGGGAAGGAAGACGAGATCAGGACTGAAAGAAAGGACAAACAGACTGCTGTGAAGGGTGAAAGCTGAGAACGAGCCTGATGGGGCCTCTGCAGGGGACGAGGACACTGCTTCCCTGGAGGGAGGCTGACACCAGGCCCAGGCCGCTGCTTGCTGAGTGACTGTGGTCGGATGGTGCTTGGTACATGGCGTCAAGGGAAGAGATGTCCTCTTTGTTTGTTGGTTTAAAATTTTAAAGAGTGTTTATTGGAGCATAATTGATTTACACTGTGTTACAGCTTCTGCTGGAGAGCAAAGTGAATCAGTTGTACATGTGTCCACTCTTTTATGGACTCTATTCCCTGTAAGTTATTACAGAGTATTGAGGAGCATTCCCTGTGCTATCCAGTAGACTCTTGTCAGTTATTTTATATATAGTAGTTTTATTTAAAATGTAAGCCCTGCTGAAGTCTATAGGGTAAGCATGTATCTTGTTAGGAGATTTAGGCATTGAATTGCAGCTGTTGGATAGGTGATAAAGGATTTAATAGTATTACAGGTTTTAAAAACTTTTTTTCTAATTAAAATACTCTATTGGTAATAAGGAAGAATAGTTTAAACCCATCTGTTAAAATTGATTTATAAATATATATTAGAAAAGTTTTCAGTATTTGAAAAATGATTATTTTAAAAATCACCCAGCAATCCCACTTCTGGGCATACACACCGAGGAAACCAGATCTGAAAGAGACACGTGCACCCCAGTGTTCATCGCAGCACTGTTTATAATAGCCAGGACATGGAAGCAACCTAGATGCCCATCAGCAGACGAATGGATAAGGAAGCTGTGGTACATATACACCATGGAATATTACTCAGCCATTAAAAAGAATTCATTTGAATCAGTTCTAATGAGATGGATGGAACTGGAGCCCATTATACAGAGTGAAGTAAGCCAGAAAGATAAACACCAATACAGTACACTAACGCATATATATGGAATTTAGAAAGATGGTAATGATAACCTTATATGCAAAACAGAAAAAGAGACACAGATATACAGAACAGACTTTTGGACTCTGTGGGAGAAGGCAAGGGTGGGATGTTTTGAGAGAACAGCATCGAAACATGTATACTATCAAGGGTGAAACAGATCACCAGCCCAGGTTGGATGCATGAGACAAGTGCTCGGGGCTGGTGCACTGGGAAGACCCAGAGGGATCGGGTGGAGAGGGAGGTGGGAGAGGGGATGGGGAATACATGTAAATCCATGGCTGATTCATGTCAATGTACGGCGAAAACCACTACAATATTGTAATTAGCCTCCAACTAATTTTTTAAAAAAGTTAAAAAATCTATTAAACACTCTCTATGCCATTCACATGGCCCAAGTGAATTATTAAAGAAGGAGAAGAAAGTAGTAGAACTCAAACTCACTAGCACGATATCTCTGATTTCCAATTTGCAAAGTCTTTACCTAAGGCATGCCATTGCCTCCCTTCAGGTATAAGTTACTCAAAACTGAAACAATTGAGCCTACTGTCTTTTGCTTATAAGAATGTGAGATCCTTTCTAGTGGGGACCAGAACCATTCCCTGACCCAAATGAAGTCTGCTGCAAAACCGGTTATTCTAAACGATTCAGAAGTAGTGACATAGGATCTTGAAAGTACAAAGCAGAAGTAACCACATCATTTCTATTTGAGAAAGTAACAAAAACAATTCATGCTTTTCTTTGCTCCCTCCTTCCCTTTCTTTTTATAAGAGGGAAAAGAATGCTTGCTGTGTTTTAATCTGGCAATATTTACTGCCTTCTTAGAGGAAAATATAACAGTTTCTGAAATACAGCAAAACTGACTTGTGCATTTCCAAATTAATTTTTGAACGATGTATTAGAATGGCTCTATCATGATTCATGTCTGTTTCACACAAGGCAGTATGAGCTCTGAATCTAATAAAATACCTGGGTCAAATCTTGGCTTTCCAGAACCCCACTGTGCCTCATTTCCTCTTCTGGAAAGTGGGAGGATTATAGTATCTGTATCGTGGAGGTAAATATGGTAGTGAAGTTATCTAACCCGTGGAAGGTACTCAGTAAATTATAACTGACATTAGTATTTTTAGATTTTTATGTCATGTGACAGTTGGTATTTAATGGCATTTGGGTGGTTTTTTTTTTTTCCCTCTTCCTCAGGCCGATTCCATTCATTTTCATAGACTCTTAGAGCTGAAGGAGACCATAGCTGTATAATCTTGGCTATCATCATTGTTTCAGATCAGAATACTTAGGTGGTAAATCGCCTCAGCAGCAGATCAGCAGTGCCCACTTCCCACTTCTGCCCCTCTCAGCATCCTCACCCTGTCTCCCTCTACCTACCACAATAATTCCTGGTCAAATCCTCATGTATGCTTCCTGTGGGAAGCAGGGACAATGCTACTATATCTGGAGGAAAAAAACACTGTTAATAGTCAACTTCCCTCACTGCCTTTCTCACCAAAAGAGAGAGACTCCAGAAGGAATTAATAAGGTAAATAAATTGGCTTCAGAGACTCACTGAGGTCCAGATGGTCTGGCTTTTGTGAAATATCTACAGTAATGCGACTCCATGCCTGTGTTACCTTGAATATAATTGTATAGTTCAGTATAGTTACAATAACATTGATTCCCCAAGAGGTTAAATCCTGGGCTGTCTGAATTCGATTGTTCTATTTTTGTTCATCATCTTAAAATGTGAATTCTACTGTTTCAGGAGGTTTCTCTGAGATTCTGAATTCTTAGAGTCAGTAGCATCAGAGCACCTCGGCTTTGCCTGCCATCCTACAGTTCATTCTTTTTGTTTTCCAAATTTCTTTTCATATCTGAGACCAAAATAGAAGTTAAGGTTTCTAGAAAAAAAAAGTAATAAAGCACATGTTTGTCGTTTCATAACAGCTGTTTTCAGGTTTGAGTTTTAACATTTCAGACTCAAGCCAGCTCACTCAGATGCTGCCTTCTCAGACCACTCTCAGCTTAAGCGATTCATTAAGAGTGAGACTGCTGTTAGCATTCCCTATGAGCATCTCCTTTTTCTTTTTTTTTTCACTTTGGTTGAGTAACCTTTATATGTTGATCAGTCTGTGCAGTCTGTGCTCAGCTTCCCAATTATAACTCTTTTCTTCCCATTAACCAGTACATTTTATAAATTACAGTGTAACGCAGACTTGCAGACAGCCTGTTCATCTTAATTAACAAGTGCTGGCAGTGATAAATTACAGACGGCCAAAATCAGTGTAAACAATATGACATTGCATTAAGTTAGCACAGTGCTCACTTACTAGTGAATGTTGGACTCTTAAGTGCTTCCCTCTGCATAAAAAACTTAGAATTCATTCTCCAAAATGAAGGTCACTCTTTTCCTTTCATAAAAATGTATTGGCATCTTAGCTAGTGCTGTGAAATCTTTTTTTTTCTCTCTCTCTCTGTCTCCAGCCATAAGCATGGTACAGTTTGTGGCCTGTTCTCTCAAATTTCTGTCTCATAGAGAATAAAGGCATACTTTGTTTCAGTGGTTGTGGTGGTGAAATACTGTGAAAGTAGGCAAAAGCAGAGAGGTCACATGTAAAAACTTAGTTCTAAATAGCGCTCTCATGCTTCCAAAATCTGCACATAGAACAGAACCTATAATGTTAAATTTATGAGCTATTTCCCAAAGAAATTCTGAACTGGATTTCATGAAAATGTAAAGTCAGTTTTCCAGACAAGATTTATTTATATCAAATCTAGCATTTAAAAACAGCTTTACAACTTATAATTCAAACCAAGTTATACTGGAAGGTCTATATTTAGATCCCCAAGCATTATGGAAGGTTCTCATTTTCCATACCTTTTGTCAGTAGCCTTCAGTGTCTTAACTCTCTTCTGTCAGTTGTCTTCAGTTGAACCCCAATAAGGTCTGATGAAGAGACACCACACACATGAGGCTCAATTCACAGCTTCTGAATATTAATGATAAAACTCCACCACGTTAACTTGCAAATAGCAACGAGCAACACAGAAATCTGAGAGGTGAAAACTGCTGATGGTGCTAGAAGATAAATACCAGGTTCTCCATCTCATTTTTTGAGCTGTGGGAGAATTAAGACGAGAGAGGCGGGGAAGGGAGGGAGTTGTTGTTACAACAGGATTTGTCGAAACCTGAAAGCTGAAAATGCTTTTGTGTCACAATATTCAGAGAAGGAATTATTTGGGTGCTCACAGAAAGACTTTCTTTTCTTTTAATATTATGTTTTAGTCCATAGTTATAATTTATTTTTGAATTTTTATCTATGTTGGAAGATACAGTTTATTACTTTATGTCCCCAGTTAAAGAATATGGTCTGAAATATTTTTAACAAGACTCTGCTTTGCAAATGATAGTTAAGTGAGACTTTCTTTTTATTCTGGTGCTTCTGACTTGTGTGAAATCAAGATTCACAAAATTGGTAGCTTTCAGACTAAACATTCAAAAGACAGATTTAAATATATATACATATAGATAAAAGTAAAAAGAAAACCCAGTACCAGCCGATGACTAGAATCTGATCAGTAAACCTGCAAGGGTTTTTTCAGGAGGGGTGAGGGGTGGGTATCCTGAATTTTCTTCTGTTAGCCTTTACACTGAGAAAGATTTCTAAAGTATAACTTAATAAAGAGATTTTAGAAAATGCTGTAAAGAAATTACATCGAAATAATGTGATGAAACATTTTAGATGAAACTAAAAGCAAACACTGAGGTGCTAGACCATGAATAATGGTACAGACATATTTCATCTTCATCAACTTTGGGTTCTCATTTTTTTCTACCTCAGTAATTTTAATTCTACAAGTTATACATTTATAACCACTATGAGAACAGAAGATAATTTTACGTGTGGTTGGATGTTTAAATTTTTACTACTGCTAATAGCCATGTTAGATGTTATTCATTTCTTTAAAAAGCAGTGATTAATAAAAATGCATGTTTCGGTTATCTGGATCTTTCTAAGTTTTTTGTTGGTTGGTTTTAATCTTCTCTAAGTCTGGCATCTAGCAAGATACGTATTGTTTTCTCCTCTTAGAAGTTAAATGTCTATGCATTTGTTTTTTAGCTATAGTGTTGTAATTTTGATGTATAAACCTAACTTCCTTCTTCTGTTTCATGGAGATATATAAGCAGTTCTTTGTATAAGTGCTGGATGGAGTAGAGCTGAGTTTCAGGCACTGACACTAACAGCATTGCTGTCACTGCTGTATCGAGTCCACCCGATGCCTTCAGGGTCTTGGCTTGTTCTGCTCCTTGCGTGGTGGTTGTGCGCACTCACCTGTGCTGAGGCTGACTGGGGGCCGGTGGGAGGAGTGGCCAGCGACTGCTCCCTGCTCTGGCCTCCAGCATAACACAGCCTCCTGGGGATAAATGGCTTAAGCATGCTTTAATGTACATTGCTTTTTTTTTTTTCAATTAAGTAATTTACTTAGTTTTGGCTGCAGTGGGTCTTTGCTGCTGAGCGTGGGCTTTCTCTAGTTGTGGCAGGTGGGGGCTACTCTTCATTGTGGCGCTTGGGCTTCTCATCGCGGTGGCCTCTCTTGTGGAGCACATGGGCTCCAGGGCACGCAGGCTTCAGTAGTTGTGGCCCTTGGGCTTAGCTGCTCCGCAGCATGTGGGATCTTCCTGGGCCAGGGATCAGGCCTGTGTCCCCTTCACTAGCAGGCAGATTCTTAACCCCTGGACCACCAGGGAGGTCCTGCGCATTAGTGTTTTCAAGAACTTTTTGATTTTTTTTCTGTCTTGATGAGTATACTTACCCTATAATGTATTAACTGCCTGTTCTCCCACCCCCAGCCACACCTCAATGTCTTGGATCTTAGTTCCCTAACCAGCGATCAAAACCTCACCCGCTGTGCTGAAAGCACAGAATCTTAACCACTGGACCATGGGGAAGTCCCTTAACCACCTGTGTTTAAAAGGCAAACTTCTGAAATGTAAATAACTTTCCTTAACTATAGACCTTTAACACAAGGCAGAATTCCGTGCATAAAGGAGCCACAGGGACTTCCCTGGTGGTCCAGAGGTTAGGATTTGGTGTTTTCAGTGACATGGCCTGGGCCAGTTCAATCCCTGTTGGGAGAACTAAGATCCCACAAGCCGCACAGTGAGGCCCAAGGAAAAGGAGCTAGAAAGTAGAAGTGCACAGAGAAGTGTAATTCATCGACATAATCATCCACTACCAGTGTAGAGAGGACAGAGAAATCTTTTTAAGTCCAGAGGCTTCTCTAGGTAAACCTTACCTTTGTTTATCTTAGTATGTCTCTCTTCCCAGCCCTTCCCACTGAACACCCAACTTTTGTTGCTGGCAATGTGACTCACTGATAGATGTCTCAGATCTGTCAGGGACAGGACTGAACTCCTGATCCTCCCCACAGCGATTCTCCCCAGTTTCCCAGTGTCCGTTAACAGCAAATGCAGCCCCAGATCTTAAAAGCATCCTTTGTTTCAATACCCAATATCCATTCAATCACCAAGTTCTTTTGTTCCAAAACTGGAAAATAAATCCAGAAACCTACCACCTCTGAGCCCCTCTCCTGCTTACGCTTGGCTTAAGACCTCTAGAATGTAAACCTCACAAGGGCAGGGATTTCCTGCTGTCTTGTTAATTGCCAGTGCTGTGCGAGGAATGGTGCCTGGCTTATTTTCAAGGTGTGATAGATATTTGTTGAATGAGTTCAGAAACTGATTTTGAGTATATAAAATAATACATTACCTTTACATGATTAAAAGTGTAATTTTTAAATGAGACTGTCATTTTATTAATTAATTTTGCAACTCTTTAGTTCTATCTGAGGCAATATGGTATTTATTTTTTTTTTTATATTTGACTGCACTGGGTCTTTGTTGCTGCGTGAGCTTTCTCTAGTTTCAGTGAGCGGGGGGCTTCTCATTGAGTTGGCTTCTCTTCATGTGGAGCACAGGCTTTGCGTGCGTGAGTTTCAGTAGTTGTGGCACACAAGCCCAGTTGCTCAGCGGCATGTGGAATTTTCCCGGACCAGGGATCAAACCCCTGTCCCCTGGATTGGCAGGCAGGCTCTCATCCACTGTACCACCAGGGAAGTCCTGGTATTTAATTCTTAAACCAAGTCTATGAGATAGAAGAAATGGTCTCATTTTTAGAGGTGAGAAAACTAAGCTCCTAAGAAGTTACACAAGGTCCATAAAATGAGTAAGTAGCGGGAATGTGGGATTCAAGCCCGGAATACTGTGATTTTTGAACCTCTGTACACACAGCCCTGCCCTGTCCCATTTAGAACAGAATGTGTTTTTACGTCTCATTATAATAGAGTCGATCCTTTCTGTGGTGGTCTGGATTAAGCTCTGGAAACAAATGAACCCTGACACCTCTGTAGCCTGAAATAATAAACATTTGCTTCTCACTCATGCCAAGTCCAAAAGTGACTCTGCAGAGTAGCTGGCCAGTGACTCGGCAGTCCCAACTGTTTTCTTTAAAATGTTTTCATTTATTTGTTTTTAAGAAAAAATGACATGTGATTCCCATGATGTATTTTTCTCAGTGACAGTATTCTGGATATTCAGACAAGTTTTTGTTTCAAGAATCAGTAGTTTGACTGAATGTTGGAGAAGAAATAGCGATACCAAGCCTTTGTGGGAGGTGGTTCTCCAGACCTGCGTCTCTCACTGCTGCCCACACACGTGCATCGTCCCGTTTTAGAAAAGCCTTGGGGCCCTCAGTTGTGTTGTCAGGGATGGTGCCCAGTCCGTGTGTGTTTAAAATACTGCCCACTTAATTCCAATGGAAAGTTGAGGTTCTGATTTTTTTTTAAGTCTTTTCTCATTTATTTTCTCTTCAACCTTAAAAAATAATGTAAGTTTAAGATTAAGAGAGTTTACCTGTTCCAGTCCCACAAATTTAAAGTGACTGACTTAATCCTAAAAGAATGTTTCGCTTCTTGACTGCATCCTGGAATATTAACAGTATCAGCTATGAGCACAATCAGTGCTTTATTTTCCTCCACCTTTATGGTCATTTTATTTAAAATAATGCTTTAGGCTGCCCTGAACACTTGATCCTTTAGAATTGGTGGTTTGTAGACTAGTCGATTACAGTGAGGATTGTGTTTAAATAAAGATGACTGTTCTCTGGTTACCGTGTGCTCCGGAATGTCTAATGAGGCCATCCCGGCTCCGAGGCTCTGTGCAACTCAGACACCTGTTTCTGATGTGGCTTACATTGCCATTTCTCTGTTATTTACTACCTTATTTTTCCAACATTTTGTTGCTCCTTTTTAATGTCTTCATGTGGAAGAATCTTGAGGATTGGCTTTCTGTGTCTTTATCACATTATTTTAGAATATTAAGACAGTCTTTGGATTTTGCAGTGACACCTGGAAATCAACCTGTAAGTATGTATTTGTTGTTGGCTTTGCATGTTATTTTAAAAACCAGGACATTTTTTTCAAGAACATCCTCACTTGCCGGTCGTGTCTCAGGTCGTGGCCTGAGCGCCCCTCGTCTGGGCCCGGCTCTCAGCTCACCGCCCCTCCTCCTCCTCCCCTTTGCCTGCCTGCCTTGTGCTTCTCCCTCTCCGCCCACTGGTCTGCGTTTCTGTCCTAGCGCACGCTCTGCCGTCCTGGGTGGGTTCGTGTGGACTTTGTGATATTGCCGAACTAGGGAGCTTATATCAGTTTCCATCATTTCTCTTTATTTATTGTAACACCTCTGGTTACATACATAGGAGGCCCCCCAAAACTCTGTGAGTTAAACTAGTAACATGAGCATGTGAAGGAGGAGATCTGGTAGCTGTGCAATTCATCTTTAAAAAGACAGACTGTCTTCCAAGTCAGAAACAGGAAGAGCAGGACAGCGTGAACACAGAGGGCACCTCCGCAGAAGGAGAGCGGGCCTGGGTGCTGGGAGCACGCGGACTGGGGGAGTCCGGTGCCCTGTACCTTGTGCCCGTGAGTGGCCAGGCCCTCAGGCTGAGCACCAGTGACCATGGCAACCGTGTCTGCATGAGCTTGTTCCTCTTCTGTGCCTCTGCAAGCCTTCGAGGCGTAAGACCTTGCACTTTAGGTCATTTTTTTAGGAAGGGAATGTACTGACGAGTCAACTTACGTGTCTCTCTGACAGTTGTGACTCATTATGAATGAGTAGATTTGCATCCATCTTCATTTATCCATCTTCTCAGTATAGTAATGGTAATATTTATAGCAGCCGCACTTACTGACTACCTGGTGAGTTTGTATAGATTGAAGCCACCCCCGGGGAGCTGACTGATTCAGAGGTGCTGGAGTTTCTCTGGAGCCATGAGACAACACCAGAGGTCAGGCCCTGGCCGCAGCGCCCTCTGCCACCACAGCCCAGCCCCTAGCAGGGACCTCCTCCACCCCCAGGAGCCTCCGGGGGATGTTGTCACACAAACACTCAAGTCACGGTTTATGGAAAAGGTGGTGATTTTAGAAAGGTGTTTTCCCTGTGATCATTTGGTGTGCCTCCAAGTTAAGTATAACAGAATATCCTAATCCGGTATTTGTGTGTTCTTGTCCCTCTTGTATTTGTTTAAAATTAAGTGTTCACCTCCCCAAAATTGTTCCCGTCCTTGGGACCAAGAAACCGTCGTATGTCTTGTTGTTGCTAGCTGGCCTAATTTACATACATACATACATGTATTTACATAATATATACCTTAGAAAGCACTCTCCATCGTCTGCCTTCACTTTGGCTGCCTCTTAGACGTCTTATCGTGCCCTTAGCTTACTCACTCTTCTTACATGCTTATGCTCTGAGAGTACACACAGTGACTGTTCAAAATCTGTTCTTCTTGTATCATTCTAAGCAGGAAAAGAGAGGGAAAACATTCAGGCATTCTACAAGCTGCATAACTATAATACCATAGGCAGTAGTGACTGTGACCACTACCCTTCTTGGGGGAAGGTGCAGCCGCAGGGCCTAGGACGCTCTGATGGAGACTTGGGCGTGGGAACCCTGAGGGAGTCAGCCAGCACTGGTTAGGGGGGAACCGAGAATCCCCGGGTGCTCACCCGACTCTCATTTCTCCTGACGCCGAGCATGACTCTCCTGCCTCAGGATCTCTGGACCCTTCATGCCGTCTGCACGAATCTGAGACAGTCCTACCTTGAAGGTCGAATCCTTGTGTTGTCTCTGGAGTCTGATTATTCCCTGTAGGCATCCTTTGTTCACATCATTCCTGTCCTCTCCCAGTTGTGGTCATATCTTGGCTCAGTGAACTGTAACTTCCTAAGCGTTTTTCCTCTCCACTGGCTTACCCTTTAATGGTCCTGAACACCATGGGAGCTGTTGAAGACCTTTTCTTCGATAATGGCCAGTATTGTTTCTGTACCTTTCCATGGGGTAGTTATTGAGATCTTTGACATGTTATGATCATCTCAAAGTCAGAAAAAGGGCTGTACAGTCTTCAATGTTCCCTGGACCATGTTGATTCAGGATCTGAGCTGGCAATATCTGAGATTTAATAGCTTCTTACCCCAGTTCTCCCATGAGGCCAAAGTGCTGCTCTGAGCTCATCACCAGTCATGTCCTAGACACCCCGGCCTGGGAAGTGGGACACCCGCCTGCAGCCTGCTAATGTTGAGAAGCAGAACCTCTGCTTTGTGCAGCATTGACCTTACAGTGAGTTGGAGAGGCAAATATTTAAAGTTGTAAATGCTCTAATTTGAAATTTTAGTAGGTCATTTTAGTATACTGATCAGCTGAGTTTGGAAAGAGACTGGCAACATTTAAACCGGGATTTTTAACTGCATCCAGTGCCCATGTACTGACTTCTTTTTTGGAATCAAACCCTTTAACAGACTTGAAACTCAGGCAAGGAAATTTAATGGTTGTAATTTTAAATAAGCATTCATTTACAAGTAAAAAGCATTTTGAATGTTACCATAGTTACCAAGTAGCTTTCCTATGGTTCTACAGAAAATGGGCTCCATCCTACAGCGTGATTCTGAGAAGTGTGTCTGGAGGCAGGTATAGAAAAGAGGGCAGTGTAGGTCTCCTGGAGAAGCAGGACATGTTACTGCAAGAGCCTTCTTGCGTGAGTTTTCTGTGATCCTCTGCTTTGCCTGTGAGTGGAGATTTCCTTTTATCTGAAACATACTATTAGCCAACTTAACTGGGTACCAAAGTTATATTCAAACTTTAGAAGTCTACTGCTACAGTTCATATGGGGTGCTGCTATATTTATTCAGGGTTTTAAACTTTTTAAAAAACAAAAAACAGACGTTGCCTCTATTTGTAAATACCAGCTATGTCTCAAAGGAATAAAATCAGGCAAATAAAGATGAGGCCACATTTTTAAATCCAAGGATTCTAGGAGTGGCAGTTTCTTACTGGAAGGAGAATGCATCTATCCCTGTTTTCATGCCTTTGGTCTTAATGATATTTGAACATTAGAGTTTTGATAATAAATTATTTTCTCTGGAGACTGGCAGGCTGCTGACCAGAAGAATCCTTTCAGAACTAATGTGGAAGGATTGGACTGAAAGGGCTCAAGGGGCCGAGTCATAGAGGGTTGGCAGAATGAGCGGTCAGGACAGGAATGCCAGTGAACGCAGGTGGTAGAAAGCGCTGGGGCGAAGTTGAGAGAATGGTCTAGAACAGTTGAGTTCACTTGATCCCCAGTCCCGTCCGTTCGCCCGTGCCTCTCTCCAGCCCCTGGATCCTTCTCCGTGGTGTTTTTATGAAGCTCTAAGGAAAGTCCTGGCCTTTTAACTGAAACACTTAGTTTCCTATAGGAAAGGAAGTGCTTGTTAGTGAACTTGGAGAAACACATAGAGCACAATTTGAAAAACGATTAAAATTTAATAAGAACATTGAGATAGTCACTCTGCAGTGGAAGAATAATTGTTCCACCCAGGGGGTATAATCGTCACTAAAACAGTCTGAGGATGGACATTTTAGGGAGCGTTTTCAGCTGCAAAGTCTCCATTGCCAGCTTTCACTCTTCAGCTTAGAACATTCTCAGCACTTGCCAGCGTCAGTGATGGGGTGGGGGCGGGGAGGTCAGCAGGGTGGTTCCAGGCGGCTCAGCCCCCACCTAGCAGGAGACACACCCCTAGTGCCTCTGAAAGCCCATCCAGGTTGGTCCTCTTAGGTCTTTCTCATCCACACATCCTCACATCACGTGTGAATACTTTTCCTCCAACCTAAAAACAAACAACAAAAGTTGCCCCATCCTTATGTATTACAGGCCCAGTTGAAGGAATAATTTTGTAGACACAAGGATATTTAGGAACATGTCCTCACAAGAGAACACGATAACCCCTGTGAATTTTAAAGCATAGAATTCCTTTTGACAAGTAGTGGTACAGCCCACACTTCATAAATTGTACTTTCTCAGCCTCTGTAGAGTGTATGATGTCCTAAAGAGCAGGTTTAGCAGTGATCCCTTAGAGACTGAAGGTTTGTAAATTACCAGTAGGCTTCCCCTTTCCTAGGCCATTCAGGCTCTTGTGTGTGTCATAGCTGCTTTGACTCCATTTCCTCTCCTAGTCTTTACTTTCAGTATTTTCCAGTGTTGTTTTGAATATATCCTTGTGAACCACTGTGAGTCCATTTTTAGAATAGGGATGTGCCTGAGAAGTTTTATTTTCTGATATAGAATCTCAACAGCTGGTAGTAGCTTAACACTTAAACAGTAGTATTTTTGGTGGTTTCCATTCCATTTGGTTCCTGCCTGTGCCTCATGGGACATTTAAAGTTGTTAGCAGAAAGTTATGTGGCCATGCAGACAACAAGCATGAATTCAATCCAGCTGATTAATCAGTGTCTATATCTGAAAGAAATGGTGTCCTAATTGATTCCCTTTCTGGGGAGTTTAGCGCTGAGTGGTCCTTGGGGGCCCATCTGCCACGTCTCTGGCTTTTGAAGTCCAGCCTTATAGTCGGAACTGCTGCTGCAGCTTATTTTTCGCTCATTCAAAAGCTGAATATTCTAATGCTATTTCTTACCTGCCTACAGACTAAAGATTACTTGGATTAATCTCAAATGGCCATTGTAAAAGCACATTCTAAAATTAAGTGACTATTAAGCACAGGCCTAGTGGCTGCCATTACTGAACAGATGCAGCCAACTGGGAGTTCCCTGCGGCAGCGCAGAGGCGAGTGGGGCATCGTACATGCCTGGAGGAGATCCACCGTGCTCCTGCTGATCCATCCTCCTGTGCTGCACAAGATAAACCGTTTAATGTGCTACAGCAGGCAGTAAAATGCTGTGTGTTTTCTGACAATGAAGGTGGACTCGGCAGTGGTGCACTTCACCCCCCTGACCCGGCCCAGGATCGAGCAGCCCTTCAAGCTGGTGGAGAAGGTGGTTCAGAATGCCTTCCAGTTCCGAAGGAAGTACTGCCATCGAGGGCTCGGGTGAGAGTGTTTTTCCTACTTGGTAGCACTTTTTACAAACTCTTCGATCACCTTCCAAGATCAAGAACAAATGTTTTTACGATTGTTCAAACTGCCTGTAAATGTTGCTCTTAGTTCAGATCCTGCGATGAACAAACCTTGACAGCCACTGAGGAGAAAGCAAAACGTCTTAACCTCAGATGCCACTGGGAGGTTTTGTTTGGTTTGATCTTAAGTACAAACTAAAACTGACATCACACAGTTTACAGTGAGCCTGGACTGGGAGGTCATGATCTCACTCAGGACTCAAACCGTCTGAACTGTTGTTGCTCTGGACACTTCTGCCACTGCACATGTGGTGTGTTCTCCAACACGAGCAAATTCCCCAGGTCTCTGACCACCACCTGGGTGTCCTGCAGTTTAATTCAAGTCTGATAACTCACTGCCTGGCATCAACGCAGCCCCTCAGCCCGATGCCACCAGGCTGTCCCCACTTCAGACTAGTGGCAAGTCCCAGGTTGCTGCTTATATTTAAGACTGGCTGGCTCTAAATTGGCAGTTTCCAGCATCTCGTCCAGCTTCAGCTTCAGTAATTTGCTAGAATGGCTCATACTTTCATGTGTTGATTTTAAAGGCTATAACTCAGGAACTGCCAAGCTGGAGGAGATGCCCGGGACATGGTTTGGGGGCGGGAGGTTTCTTACTTCTCTGTGTTCACCAACCTCCAGGCTCTCCTAACCCCATTATTTGGGGGTTTATGAAGTTCATTACCTGAGCAGCACTGATTAAAGCACTGGCCACTGGCGATTGAGCTCAGTTTTCCAGCTCTCCTCTCCTCAGACGTGCAGTGGTGGGTGCATCCTTCAGTCACATAACTGAGTCCCCTAGCCTGGTGCTTTCCAGGGGCCACCAAGAATCACCTCGTTAGCACAGAACTCGGGTATGGTCGAAAGGGGCTTGTTATGAATGACAAACGATGCTCCCATCACCCCTTACTCAGGAAATTCCAAAGATTTTAGAAGCTCTGTCTCAGGAACCTGGACAGAAACCAAATATGTGTATTTCCTACCACACACTGTCTAAGTGTATGGGTTTTTTAATGCCCTCTTTCCATCAGGTTACTATATCTTGAAGATTTAAGGACATATTTAAAATTAGGAAGCAAAGATAACTTCTGAGTAGCCAGAACAATGTCTGGAGTATCCGTGTGAGCTCGTTTTTATTAACAGAGAGCTCCTGTGTGTGAGCCTGAGAGGCCTCAAGGTCGCCAGTGATGCTGGATAGCCAGTGACAGGAAAATGTGACTAGGCCCAACATAGTCTAAGAAGGCAGGAAAGCACATGTGTGTTTTTAAGATATCCACCTATAGTCAACTGTAGTTCTTTAAATCAGTTTAGCTTTAGAGGCACATATTATTTTCTAGGGCTTCCCAGGTGGCACTAGTGGTAAAGAACCTGCCTGCCAGTGCACAAGATGTAAAGAGACACAGGTTCAAGCCCTGGACCGAAGGATCCCCTGGAGGAGGGCATGGCAGCCCTCTCCAGTTTTTTTTTTCTTTTATAACTTTTTTTTCCCATTTATTATTATTAGTTGGAGGCTAATTACTTTACAATATTGTAGTGGTTTTTCCATACATTGACATGAATCAGCCATGGATTTACATGTGTTCCCCATCCTGATCCTCCCTCCCACCTCCCTCCCCATCCCTTCCCTCTGGGTCATCCCAGTGCACCAGCCCCGAGCACTTGTCTCATGCATCCAACCTGGGCTGGTGATCTGTTTCACAATTGATAATATACATGTTTCAATGCTATTCTCTCAGATCATCCCACCCTCGTCTTCTCCCACAGAGTCCAAAAGTCTGTTCTATACATCTGGTGTCTCTTTTTCTGTTCTGCATATAGGGTTATCGTTACCATCTTTTTAAATTCCATATATATGTGTTAGTATACTGTAATGGTCTTTATCTTTCTGGCTTACTTCACTCTGTATAATGGGCTCCAGTTTCATCCATCTCATTAGAACTGATTCAAATGAATTCTTTTTAATGGCTGAGTAATATTCCATGGTGTATATGTACCACAGCTTCCTCATCCATTCGTCTGCTGATGGGCATCTAGGTTGCTTCCATGTCCTGGCTATTATAAACAGTGCTGCGATGAACATTGGGGTGCACGTGTCTCTTTCAGATCTGGTTTCCTCGGTGTGTATGCCCAGAAGTGGGATTGCTGGGTCATATGGCAGTTCTATTTCCAGTTTTTTAAGAAATCTCCACACTGTTCTCCATAGTGGCTGTACTAGTTTGCATTCCCACCAACAGTGTAAGAGGGTTCCCTTTTCTCCACACCCTCTCCAGCATTTATTGCTTGTAGACTTTTGGATAGCAGCCATCCTGACTGGCGTGTAATGGTACCTCATTGTGGTTTTGATTTGCATTTCTCTGATAATGAGTGATGTTGAGCATCTTTTCATGTGTTTGTTAGCCATCTGTATGTCTTCCTTGGAGAAATGTCTGTTTAGTTCTTTGGCCCATTTTTTGATTGGGTCATTTATTTTTCTGGAGTTGAGCTGGAGGAGTTGCTTGTATATTTTTGAGATTAATCCTTTGTCTGTTGCTTCGTTTGCTATTATTTTCTCCCAATCTGAGGGCTGTCTTTTCACCTTGCTTATAGTTTCCTTTGTTGTGCAAAAGCTTTTAAGTTTCATTAGGTCCCATTTGTTTATTTTTGCTTTTATTTCTAAAATTCTGGGATGTGGGTCATAGAGGATCCTGCTGTGATTTATGTCGGAGAGTGTTTTGCCTATGTTCTCCTCTAGGAGTTTTATAGTTTCTGGTCTTACATTTAGATCTTTAATCCATTTTGAGTTTATTTTTGTGTATGGTGTTAGAAAGTGTTCTAGTTTCATTCTTTTACAAGTGGTTGACCAGTTTTCCCAGCACCACTTGTTAAAGAGGTTGTCTTTTTTCCATTGTATATTCTTGCCTCCTTTGTCAAAGATTAGGTGTCCATAGGTTCGTGAATTTATCTCTGGGCTTTCCATTTTGTTCCATTGATCTATATTTCTGTCTTTGTGCCAGTATCATACTGTCTTGATGACTGTGGCTTTGTAGTATAGCCTGAAGTCAGGCAGGTTGATTCCTCCAGTTCCATTCTTCTTTCTTAAGATTGCTTTGGCTATTTGAAGTTTTTTGTATTTCCATACAAATTGTGAAATTATTTGTTCTCGTCCTGTCCACTCCAGTATTCTTGTCTAGAGAATCCCATAGACAGAGGAGCCTGGCGGGGCTGTAGTCCATGGGGTCACAAACAGTCAGACATGACTGAAGTGACTTAGAATGCATTATTTTCTAAGAATAGCTAGCTCCATTTCAGTTCTCTCTTTCTGGTTTTGTGAAGAATCCCTTGAGCATATGAAATTACTTCAGCCCAGCTGGACAGCTGCCTCCTGAAACCATTAGAATCCACAGACTTCCCCTGGAGGGCCTGACAGCCTGCCATTGGTTGGCTGTAGTTAGGCAGGTGTTCATGCTCACCAGGCAGTTACTACTTCTCTAGTTGGTAATGCCACTGGCTATCCTGGTACAATTAGAGTGAAGGCACCCCTCTGGTTCACTGCAGCTCCCCACCCACCCCCCGCCAGCATGCACTGCTACAAGTAGGACACGAGCTGGAGGTCACACAGGGTGTGACCCTTAGAGTTATATGTGACAGCCCTGATTCAGGGAGGGAAAAAAAAAATCACAGCAAGTACATCCTGCTTGTAGCAGTCCTGGAACTGGCCTGAGCCCAGAGCTGGCCCTGGCATTTCCAGGACAACCCCAGCTAAGTAATGGGCTCCATTCATGTCTCACATGCCCTCCCCTTGCAGAGATGGACCAAGTCTGTGACCCTCTTTGACCTTTTGGTGACCTTCAGTCACATCACACCACACCACACAGCAGTCCCAAATCACAGAAACTATGATCAGACCCCTGCTTGCCATGAAACTGAACGCAGTCAACTCACCCTGAAAATGTGGGGTCATGGCATTCCTGGTTGAGAAGACCATCAGCCTGTAAGAAAACTCGGTCTCCTCTTGCCACGACGTCTTCCAAGCCCTTTGAGACAAGTTCTGTTGAGCCTCTGAGACTTGAGAGAAGAAAACAGAATCCAGGTGTAGCTTTGCAATATTTTAGTCAGTTTCACTATATATTTTAAAACAATAATCTGATTGTTAGATGAAATTTACAACTTATACTTGAGTCAATTTTAAAGATGCTTCAGTTATCTTAAAGAGGAAAATAACTATTTTCACATGTTTTCAAACTTTACAAAGGCTGGCAAGTTCAAGTGACAGAATCAAAACTGCACCAGTAATAATATGTAATTTTTATATTTAAAATGTGAGGCACAAACTTGTATTTCTCTGAGAATGCAGCTGAGCATATGATAAATTTCCCTTAAAGATGCAAGTACTGATGTAACTTTAGAACTCTCTTCTCACATGGTCAAATTAGCTCAGTGGGGGTCCATACCTGTTGCCCGTGGTGTGAGCAGAGCCTCCTCCACGGGCTTGGGGCCCGCAGGTCACTGCAGAGGCTGCTCGTCCACTCCCGAATGTTGTCGGAACCATGCCGTTTTCAAAGGAGGGGAGAAGGAAGCAGCATCGTTTGTAGAATTTAAGTGAAATTCTGAGTTTTTTCCTCTTCCTTTCAGAATGTTATTCCCTGAAGCTCGGCGATTAGAAAGCACGGGAAAACTGTTAGAGTTGGCAGATGTGGACCCGACTCTCCGACCTACCCAACTCACTGTCTCACATTTTAAGAGCCTCTGTGATGTGTACCGAAAAATGTGTGATGAAGACCCACACCTCTTTGCTTACAATTTCAGAGAAGAACTCAGGCAAAAGTCAGAAAAAAGGGGATGACAAGGAGAGTTGCAGACTGTAGCTGCTACTTCAGGGGCTGCCAGCCTGCCAGGTGTTGAACTTCTCATGTGTGCTCACGGCTGTGACTTACTCCCCTTTTACAGCTTGGTAAAGAGAATAAATATCATCAAGTAAGATACAGTACAAGCTTTCTTTTAATATACATATATATATACTGCATAGATGTGACATGTTTAGTATAAACAGCATCTATTACAACCTTACAAAAATGAAGTATCTGCACATTGTACCCCTAACCCACATTAGAATAATTTAAATATGCTTTAAATAAAGTGAAACCTAATAGCTGAAAGAAAATAATCAGAGGATTGGAGAAAAAATGACCTTTTAAAAGCTATTAATCACAACTTCCCCACCTTTTTCTACATAAATTAGAATGCATTCGTCTTAAGGATTCTAAATCATTTTGATACCTGCTCAAAAGGGATATAAACTAAGTAATTTACAAATTCTGACCAGTTTAAGCTAGTTTTCTGATCCACAATAAATTAAAATAACTTAAGTCTTTACAACTATTTGTGGGAAAATGTATCCTGCACAAAACCTAATAATGAATAGTGTTTCTGCAATTTTCATTTTGCCACCAGTTTAGAAGTGAGACCAGCACTGTAACCCTATCTGGACTGGGCCGGGCTAGGACTTTCCGTGGAACTTGTATTTCTCTGAGAATGCAGCTGAGCATATGATAAATTTCCCTTAAAGATGCAAGTACTGATGTAACTTTAGAACTCTCTTCTCACATGGTCAGATTAGCTCAGTGGGGGTCCATACCTGTTGCCCGTGGTGTGAGCAGAGCCTCCTCCACGGGCTTGGGGCCCGCAGGTCACTGCAGAGGCTGCTCGTCCACTCCCGAATGTTGTCGGAACCATGCCGTTTTCAAAGGAGGGGAGAAGGAAGCAGCATCGTTTGTAGAATTTAAGTGAAATTCTGAGTTTTTTCCTCTTCCTTTCAGAATGTTATTCCCTGAAGCTCGGCGATTAGAAAGCACGGGAAAACTGTTAGAGTTGGCAGATGTGGACCCGACTCTCCGACCTACCCAACTCACTGTCTCACATTTTAAGAGCCTCTGTGATGTGTACCGAAAAATGTGTGATGAAGACCCACACCTCTTTGCTTACAATTTCAGAGAAGAACTCAGGCAAAAGTCAGAAAAAAGGGGATGACAAGGAGAGTTGCAGACTGTAGCTGCTACTTCAGGGGCTGCCAGCCTGCCAGGTGTTGAACTTCTCATGTGTGCTCACGGCTGTGACTTACTCCCCTTTTACAGCTTGGTAAAGAGAATAAATATCATCAAGTAAGATACAGTACAAGCTTTCTTTTAATATACATATATATATACTGCATAGATGTGACATGTTTAGTATAAACAGCATCTATTACAACCTTACAAAAATGAAGTATCTGCACATTGTACCCCTAACCCACATTAGAATAATTTAAATATGCTTTAAATAAAGTGAAACCTAATAGCTGAAAGAAAATAATCAGAGGATTGGAGAAAAAATGACCTTTTAAAAGCTATTAATCACAACTTCCCCACCTTTTTCTACATAAATTAGAATGCATTCGTCTTAAGGATTCTAAATCATTTTGATACCTGCTCAAAAGGGATATAAACTAAGTAATTTACAAATTCTGACCAGTTTAAGCTAGTTTTCTGATCCACAATAAATTAAAATAACTTAAGTCTTTACAACTATTTGTGGGAAAATGTATCCTGCACAAAACCTAATAATGAATAGTGTTTCTGCAATTTTCATTTTGCCACCAGTTTAGAAGTGAGACCAGCACTGTAACCCTATCTGGACTGGGCCGGGCTAGGACTTTCCGTGGCTCTCTGTTTCATAGAAGCACTCTTCGCTGACAACCGACGTTAAGCTCTGGACACTGAATTCTCGCTCAAGGACAGAGCTGAGATCAAGGTTGGCGTTTCCAGGATGACTGTCCAGGGACTGGTGACGCGTCTGCGCCTTCAGCAGGGTGCCCCTGTCCCGCTTGGTGCTGTTGGCCTTGCGTTTGATGGCGCAGAAGTGCCCCCGCACCAGCTTGGGCTGCCCACCCTTGCCGGGCGGCTCTTCAGCTGGGTGAGCATCGGGGTCCTCGGAGATCCTCAGTCTCTGGAACTGGATCTCGATGTCTTTGGTGGGGCTGCCCTGCCTCCGAGCCTGGGGGTAGTCGTCCTCGTCGTCGCTCAGAATGTCACTCTCCTTGATGAGACTGTCGGGGAAGTCGGCCAGGCCCGCGTGGGGGTGCTGCTGGGTGTTTTGCCTGCTCCCGGCAGGGGGGCAGCCGCTGCTCTGGGTGCCGCTGCTCAGGCTGCCCTCGTCCGAGTCCAGGGAGCTGCCCTTGCCCGGCTCCCCCGGCCACTCGCTGCTGGAGGAATTCTTAAGGACTTTTAAGGACCTGGATGAAGCTGCAACGAGAAAAGCACACATTCCCTTATGAGAGAAGAACAGATTCCGCAAGGTGTAATGTTGGCCTTGGAGGTTATGAGAGTGAACATGTTAAAACTTTTTCATCTCACTTCAATTACCAGCTATCCTGGGACTTGAGCAAGGAAAAAAAAATGTAGATACTACAAATATGCAGTTGAAATTTTAAGTTGGGGAATTTGGCATTTTGGGGTGATAGTTATCAGAACTTAATTAATGAGATAGAACAATAAGCTATAAACTGTCATAAGGGCTTGGATTATTTTGCTAATGAATAAATTTAAAAATTAGTTGCTGATAAAATCTAGGTTCCTTTCTTTTACTAAAGTACTTTGTAGTTTCAGAACTAGGATTACATGGTATTTCTCTGCCCACCTTCTCACCTGTTAATTTCCCTGGCTGCTCAGGTAAAGATTGGAAAATGCTCTTTCTCTCATGAGAACATTTGTTGGATTTCTTATCAGCTTTGAGATTTAACATGAATATTGAGTTGTGTATACATGTGTTTAACTCCTTTCTCTTGGGTTGAAGGGGAAAAAGGGAAGTTCAGTTGTGTTTCTGCAGACAATACTATATTTTTGATGGCTGTAGCTTATTTTGCCAGTGGAGGAAAAAATAGAAAATCTACAGTAAATCTGAAGAGGTCAAACTACCAAAAATAAGAGAGACATTTTGCAAGACTAAAAACTAGATCGATGATATGTTAACAAAATAGTTATATAGAAAGCTGAAAGCTTTAAGAGCAGCAGGATTTGGAATGTTTACCTATAGAGTGGGTTTACTAAGAGTGGGCATATTAGGTTTTTTGACCTTTTTCACTTAGTATGGACATACTCTAGAGGCTTTGCACTGTGGCAAGCACTGGAAACGTGGCAATGAGCAGAACCAAGTCCCTGACTCCCATACCTCTCAGTGGAAGAGAAAAGATGGTAAGCGTAGACTGTGTCAGCCAGTGGCAACAAGGATTTGGGGTTGGGGGTGGTTATACTTTATAAAAGAAGGTCTGGTGGGGAGAGGCATTCTTTAGGTTTTTTAAAAAATAGAATGGCAGTGACCACCTCATTCCATCCTGTGTGTTGGGGTCTGGTTTACAGCTTAGCTACTGCAGATCATTTACAAAGTGATGACCAGCTACCCTGTTGTAAGAGCATACATGCTTGCAGAGAAAAGCTCGTCATGTTTTCCTGAATAAACCCAAGGCTAGACGAGTTCTCACCTAATTTGGCTGAGACAGGAACGCGGTTCTTAAGGGGTACCAGGCGATCCTTACATGCTTTCTCCAGGGGTAATTCACACTTTATGTGACGCCTGAAGTTTTCCCTCAGGATAGATCGAATCACCTTGACGATGTTGGTTTTGCTTTCATTGTCACTGGGGGGAGAGAGAAAACACTGGTTGTTTCTGCTGTCTCACCCAGCTCCCATTCCTTGTCTCCTGCCCTCCCGTGGTACATGAGGACAGACGGACAGCAAGCTGCCCAGCAAGTATGCCACGGTCTCTCGTCACTTAGAACAGAAGTGAGAACTGATTGTCCTTGAACTTCCTGCAGGCACTAAGATTTGGATGTATATTTAATCAATGTATTATTCTACTAGAGCTGCAGTTGCCAGTTTGCAGAGGGTGGGTGTGATCCTAAAGTCATCAAAATTCAAGAGGGCGCCAAAAATAAACCCATCTTTAAGAGAACATAATTCTGTCTTCTTCCCATTGGCTTTCATCTTTGGAAGGCAGTGATACCTGCAGCACAACTGAAAGATGGTCTCTGGCCGTCCTTCTATTTCTGACTTGGTGTGGATCAGCTCCCATAAGGAATTATTTTCTGTCCCTGTGTAAAAAGAAACCAGGGGCTGCAACTCTGCCAAAGATGCTGTGATAACATTTGTGAAACCTGAAACCCACAATCTAGTAACTTTTTTTAAAGAGTTCAGTATTCCCAATCCTGACTCTCATCATTTTCTTCTGAGGCTCAATTCTGTGTATGACTTCCACAATAGTTACAAAAAGTTAAATATGTTTTAGTTACTTTGTGTACATTTCCTGCTGACATTTCCCATTCATCTTGGTGCTTTTTGCCTTACCTCCGGATCTCATCTGTGGGAAAGAGGTAAGTGGACCACCTTTGCCAACCTCCTTCCTTGGAAGGACACAGGATGTGCTCAGGCACTTTAGGTGAAGGCAGCCAGCAGCACACCAAGTCATGGTCCAGGAAACGTGAGCACTTCCGACAAAAACTGAACAGGGACCCAGGCCGTCACTGCAGGCCTTAGCCTGTTGGTCTTTTCCATCACCAGAGGCACTGTCACCAGAACGGGGTTATTCTAGAAGGATCTTTGAACAT